TTCAATTATGGCTCTAATACTATATTAGAAAATGGTTTTAAGCCTAACTCAACCCCACAAAACCGGTTTGTATGGTGAGGTTTGCACCTCACTTATATATTATAATTTGGTTTTATCTTTAGTCGATGTGTGATTTCTAAAATAAAACATGTATTGCAATCTAACTTACGTGAAATAATTTCTTTTGATTAAAGTTTGATTTTTAACTTGGTAATTTTTTTTTAAAGAAATTGAAAATATAATTACAAATTGTGAAGGTTAAAAGATAATATAATATAAATGTTCCAAGATTTTTTTAAAAAAAGCACTACCCATATACCCTAATTCATAATAAAGGTTTTCACCTCACTTATATATTATAATTTGATCTTATCTTTAGTCGATGTGTGACGTCTAAAATAAAACATGTATTGCAATCTAACTTACGTGGAATAATTTCTTTTGATTAAAGTTTGATTTTTAACTTGGTAATTTTTTTTTAAGAAATTGAAAATATAATTACAAATTGTGAAGATTAAAAGATAATATAATATAAATGTTCCAAGATTTAAAAAAAAAAACATTACCCAAGTCGTAATATTATACCGTAATTCATAATAAATATAAGTAAACCAATATTGTATTGCCTATCAAGACTTCAATTCAACTTATTTAACCAAAGTCATCAAAATAAAAAACGATCTAAGTTAATACAAATCTCGTCATATGTTATGATGATTTCTTTTCAATGTAAATTATATTGAAATTATCACACACATGCTCGATTTTAGTATTGCAAAAATTTAGTCACACTTCACTATTTTAGTTAATTTAATTAAATGTAATTTATGTTAATAATTTATTAAAACGACTTCAGTTCAATAATCAAACTCGTTAAGGAACTTCTTCCAAATAAGTTCGTCCTTAGTAAGCACGATCATTCAAATAATTTTTAAAAAAGTAACTCAGATGTTTAATGTTATAATAAAATTTGATCGGTTCTACAAAAAAGCCGATGACTTCTTGACAATGTGTCTCTACTTATATCACATTATTTAAGTTTCCCTATATGAGTGAAACGACTTCATTTAATGTTGGCAGGTTGTATGTCCTTCATTATTTATTCTACATTCGTACAATTTCAAACCATAATTTGAATTTACATTGTTTTGGAACTCTCATCATTTAAAGATTGTACTATAGCACATGATTTTCATTAATCATTATTTTCAAATCTAAACACAATTATTTATCTAAGTTATTTGTCCTTTACCTGATCTACAAAAAAAAAAAATTCAATGATAGTTTAGTTGGTATATTTTTTTAAATTTAAAATATTTAACATATAAGAAAAAATTGCTTAAAATAATTTATTCTGTTGGAACTCTCATTTTCAGCGTTACATATATAAAGTTGGAAAATTTTATGTGTAATGGAATTAGATTGTACTTTGCCTCCAAAAAAATAAATGAAAACATGTTGCAGATGTTTCATTGATCTTAAATCCTGTAGATACAATAAATAATATATTCATTAAAGAAGAGGAGATTTTTGTGAAAAGGAAGTTGAATTTTCCCTTTCATACAACAGTTTGAGAATTCAGGATTTGTTCAATCTTTCTACTCACCACGTTATATTGCCTGACAAGAAAAACGTACCAATATTAAATCTCTAATCCAACTATTGTACATAAAATAAATTATTAGATTGCAATACTCTCTTTATTACATAATAACTCTTATTTTTTTTTCTTACAGTAACCATGTGATTTTTTACAAAGTTGACTCAATTTCTAATAGGTGGGATATTGTTTTAAGAGCTTAGAACTCATATACTTCTATTTATACTACTAAAAGTATTTTTGGTAATATCAATAAACTAATTATTAACTTATTTAATTAGCCTAAACCTAATTAAACCAGACTCTAAAGTGTAACAATAACAAAACATAAATTACAAAAATAAAAAATTATGGGTTTCTATCTTAATTACTTTCAATATTGTTCTTTGAGTGATTTTTAAAATATTCAATCTCATCATATAATAACAGGAAAATTACCACTTTTAAAGAGGTGTGAGATTTTTAACCTAAAAAGTTCAATCTCATCTTTGTTATTTTTACTTAATATAGGATTTTCAATTCATAACTTTCCGATATTTTTTTACTTCCTTGAATATTAAAATAATCAATTTTGAAGGTTGTCTAAGTTAATTTTGTTTCACCTATATAAGCGTCACCTGGTAAAAAAAATCGCTTATAAAGAATGTAACTGAGTCCTTACAAATAAAAATGGTCCCAAATTCATTTATCATATCAACATCTGAATCCTTAACTCACCTATGTAATATGCCTCTTACGATTCTTTTTCAACTTTAAAATTTGGATCAATGTCCATGATTACTTCATACTTTTGATCCTTTCCTTTTCCCCTTTTTGACATGTGCATATAGTCAATGCAGATAACAAAAGAATGTTTAAGAAGAATATTGGAAAATAATATATTTATATACTTGTGACAAAATATATTAAAAGTTACCCAATTATTTTGAAATCTGGTGTCTCCATATTTCAAGAAATCACTTTTTGAACAAATTTAAGGTAAATTAAGATTGATGAAACTAGGTTTGAAGTCAGGCATGAAAATGGTAATAGAAAAGGAATTGAATTGTGGTAAGTAGGTAGTGAATTGAGATGAGGGTATTGGTTTGTTGATAGAGGAAAGGGAAACAAGTTTGTCCATGGATTTGGATGTTCAGGTGTGCCTTTTTTATTCCTCAGGTAAAGGAAAGAAAGGAAAGAGATGACATGAGAGGTGGAGTGTCACTATCAAAATGGGGTGGCACCAATATCAATGGCCCATATCATGTCACCAACAAACTTCCATTCTTGACATTGGTTAAGAGGTCCATTTTCTTCCTTCATTACATATTTTAACCTAAAAATCACACTTTCTATCTTCATCACCACCTCTGCTTTTTGAATCAGCATTTATCACTCATTTTATTTTCAATCAAGATGTCATCTCACACTTTTTTCTGCGATTATTGTATATCTCACTTTATTGGATAATGTTAATGTCACTTTTGTGATCTTGATTTTGTTTTTAAATTTAGTGTTTGAAACTGTTTCTGCCAATTTTTTGTTAAATGGATAATTTTCATAAAATATAGGATAATCACTGCACTGATATATATTAAATTTATGTAATCTACATTATACAGAAATTAGGGATTCCTCGAGCAAAGATAAGCATTCTGTTGTTTGATTGGAAATCAAAGTTTCAAGAACAGAGTTGTACAGAATATAAATCTATTCAGCACAATACAGTATATGATTGGAAATCAAATATGAATATTTGACGGAAGGGAATTTGGCATACAACAACTATAGTTCCTGACACAATAACAACTTATATATTTGATGCTCGTCATGCTCATTCTAGAATGAAATAAAACTAAGAACTGCTTATTTGAGTTATATGATAGGTTACCTGTTATGTTTTTAGATCGAATGAATTGTTCTTTAGTTTATCTGAGTCTTAGAGATTCTCTGCTTCTCACTGCAGACAGATACATCTTCTGTTCTAAAGGAGTCAAATGAATACATAGGATTCCTTCATAAACAAGTTAAGGTTTGGCCATTCTTGCTACATTATGCTGAAACTATCACTGTTAATATTCTAGTAATTGGTTTCATATATCGCAAACATACAAACTTGGACCTAGAAAGACATAACAGATTCTAAATCATGTTTAACAAGACCTTTTTTTTCTCTTCCTTTTTTGACAGCTGCTCAGTGCTCCATGCCTTGAAACTTCAGCAGCAGCCAAGAAGCAGGTAAGCATAATATGATATGATTGATTATAAACACATATGTCTTGTTTTGCAATGGTTTAAATTAGTTGATGCCATTGACGAGAAACGCACATGCCTTACTGTGAAATGGTTAAATTATACTCTTGATACAGGTGATAGCAGAAAATCCACCTATCTGGAAATGAAAGGATGGATGAATATGGAGCTCTGTGGTCTGCTTCATTTCCTTGACAGGAGCTTCAAAGCTTGATTTCTGATCAATGGAAAGAAATGGGGCAGGGTAGAGATATGTCTACTGATTTCAGGTTATATATGGTTAATATGATTTTACTGAAATGAGAATTATATACATAAAATTGGCTCCTTTAATTTGTGTCTGTGAGATAAGATAACTATGGACCTAGGCACGTCTATAGCACCAGATTCTGAACCTAACCATTGCATCAAAATGCAGGAACTATTAAAATGCTGAGATCAACACCAGATCCACCTAAAGAATCTGAAAGGAGAATTGTGTGATTGGTTTATTGAAAACAACACATGTCACGTAGTAGAGATGTAAAAATCTCTTTACCCTATCCTGAGTTCTTAAGTAATTTATGCTTTGCTATATTTTTTGACACAGATAGTTGTTTATATATTTAATCTATAGTTTCCTTATAGTCGCAGATATGAGAAGAAATTCATTGTGGACTTTGAATTTTGAAATTGCTTTAATTATGATAGATAACGGATGAAATAACTTTAAGGACAAATGATTAAGTTATATAGGTGTGATTAGCATTATCCCTAGCAAATTGCATTAATTCATTAAGATTTCTTGTATTAGCATACATACTTGTAAAAGAAAAACAAATAAAACTTATCAAATAACGGACCTTTAGAAATAATAATCTTCTTAACATAAAGTATATTTTAGATTTATCTTCTTTAAATTGAACAAAAAAAAGAGATTATATCCACATTGTTTAAGAATTGGTTAAAATTATTGAATACTTTAAGTATAACAAGTTTTTATGTATATTTACTTTGAGATACTCTTTATTCACTAAATTTCTAATATCACCGTCATGCCCAATGGTCACCTACAATAGAAATTCTGGAGCAATCCACACTCTCTAAACAAATTAAGTGGATAAATATAACCCCAAAATCTCAATTATCCACCTGCCATTGGATTTGGTGGAAACACTTTTTGAATAAACTCCAGGAAACGACGAGAGTAGAATGTAGGGTCCACAGCTGAGATAGACAATGAATCAAACTGAAGAGATTTATAAGCATGTTCAATCTTCTTGGTCATGTTATAGTCCTGCAATATATCAATGATACCCAGGTACAGCACCACATCGTAGACCTCCTGGAACTTTGGTTTTTCTTGTTTATCCGAAATCTGCTCTGCCCTTGAAGGCATGTTCACACCAAGCTGGATTTGGAGTCTGCTTAACAAATTGGAAAGAGAAATATGCAAGTCGGTATTTGCAGTATTGTGGCAATGATACAATTATAGCGTAAAGGAATCATTATAATCATTAAAATCCTGAATAGAACGCCTAGAATTATTAGAATAGTCTACATTATAAGTAATACATGTGATAATTTGAAGAAAATAAATAACCAATTTATCTGTTATACTGAACCGTTTCGATCACATTCTATCTAGTTTGTGTTAAACTTAGATACAGTCCCAGAGTGTTATTTGTGCTGTTTTCCTATCAGAACTAATCATTCACTTTGATCATCTATAGAATCGTTCAATACAAATTTTTTATTAGATAGATATGTTACTTAGGTGAAATTTGAATTCTGATTAAAAAATACTATCAACACCTAAAGAATTGTATATAAGTTTTGTCCTTTGATCTAACCTGCATATGCTGGGAACAACAGAACTCTTAAACAGTCTAGCTAACCTGAGTTATTTAACCTGAAGATTAAAGGCCAAGGCAAAGTAATTAAGAAACCACACCTTGCTGTACCAGGTAGAAGTAGATCCACCTCCTCATCACCAGCAGATGAAGCCCGCAACCGACTACCCCTCACATGTGAGCCCACAACAACACTGTTATCATCTGCTCCTCTAGGAACTAGAACAAGACCTTGTGGATAGGATGCTTCATCCTCCAGAGGATCTATCAAATCATCGTTAGCATATCACAGTTTTTAAGTTGATCACTTCATTCATGCTTATATATTGCACTAGAAAAAGCAAGAATATAAATCTATAAACTAGACAATCGATTCACCTTCCTCTGCAAGCATTGCTAATCCATCCACACTTCTACTTTGGTTGTATGATATGAGAGGACGCAGATGCTGTGGAGCTCGATAGTGAACACCTAGAAGAAGGCTGTAATCCATAATGTGTTGTGCTTCTAAAAATTTGCTGTCTATTTCAATCTGCCTGCACAAAAGTATGAGTAGGAGGAAGTATTCAGTATTTCCAGTGGATTAAAAAAACGTCTTACATTTTGTATCAGGATGCATGGTTAAGATATATTATGCCAATTAAAAAAATATTTGTATGCATGCTGCCTATATGCATCATAAAAAAATGGACTGCAAAGATCAAACAAAATTTCGACATGAATAGTTACTGTTTTCAATAGCATCATAATTTATTGGAGACACAGTCTGCCCACATATATTTACATATTCATAGCTCACAGTATCAAAACATGAACCAAGGGTTTTTGCAGCATATTTCAGACACCAGTAATGTACTAAACAGAAGATACACGCGTTTTCTGTTGTTACCTTGTCCAAGAAGAATATCTTATCTTCCTTTTCTTATATGTACGTTATAATAAAGTTTCTTCTTTTTGTCTTATTTTTACACTTGGGTAATCCTTTTTATGGTACTGAAAATTGAACTCTTTCAATAAATATTTTTTACCGTGTATAAGAAACCCAAATGCAAAAGAAAAATCGTTATAACTACAGCTTACTTTAATAAAGACTCCCGCCAAGACGGTTCCAAGTAGAAACAGTAGTTCAGATCCAAATCCTTTAGTGTTGTATTTTCGTCAATTTCTATCTTGTCTGATGATCGTCCAAAGGAAGAACCTTTTAAATCAAATCTCCGATGGATCCTCAGTTCCGTGCAGAACATATTTCCCATTACAACGAAGCGAAACTGCAAAAGGGAAAATTATATCCAAATATTAGACTCCTAGTTCAGGAAATGCATATGAAAAAATTAAAGAAGCGGGATTGATTGACTCAAATATCTGATGTTGTAAATTCACTTTATGATATTTTCATAATTTATATTTCAGATTGCAAGTATTAGGAAACGTGACATTCCTTCTTTATTGATACGGAAAATGACCCATGATCTGAAAAATGCTGCAAGGCAATGTGCACGTTACCTTTTGACCACTTGAAGCCTTAATCCTGTGCAAGCCAAAGAATTTTGTGATAAGTGTATTTTCGTATGTCTTCACATGATGATGATAGTCTGGCAGCATTCTTAGAAGAACCTGCATGCCAAATGTTGAACAAAGGAGTTTTTATTATACACTGAAAACAAGTAGATGATAACAAGTGAATACTAAGATAACATTACTAAAATTGTAAGTTGCCTCAGTACGTATTAGCTAAAAGCTTCTTCTTTTACGAGTTGCCTCTGAAAAAGGCTAACATTATTCTACAACTACAACAAAAGCTCAATTGTAAAATCCTAACTCTGGCACAAAATTATTACGGACTCAGCAGGAGAACAAATTAAGCACTCTCTCGTTCCTTAATGGCTGCGAAATTCCATACTAAATTTCTACAAATAAAGTGTTAGCTTCAATTTGTTATGAGTACATTGAATGTACGCAATAGAGTCCACACGAAATATGAGAGATTCACCTGAAAATTTGTAAACGTTATTGAAATACTATAACGCTACCTTCGACCTTCTATTGGTTCTAACTGAAACATTTATAAGAACGCACCTTCACTTCAGACATTCGCAATGTCTTGATCATGAAACGATCATCCTGAGACAGGAAAAAGACACTGCCACTTTTCCCTGGAGAAGATAGTTCCCTCAGAGTATCGTTTCCACAAATGGACATCATGTAGTCGGCAGCGTCAATCTTGAATAATTCTCTCAAATTTCTGTAATAGTTTATACCAAACAAACTCATGGAAGGACTTGTGGAATTTAAGAATGCATATTATGATCAATCAAACACTTAAGTCCCACATTATGATCTTACATTCTTAAATCCTATATTATCTCAGATTTGGAACACGTTTGTTCTTCTGAACATAACGTACAAAACTAAGGATAATAGAAGCACAGGTATGTTTCAAAGGAGACAATTCAATTCAAATTGGAAACATTTACAGTATGATGGGAGCTAAGTAGGCTAACTATCTCAGAAAGGGTTTTAAAATCTTGCTTAAAGAGACAGATTTACATGCAAACCTAGACGGTTTAACAATTATATTAGCACCACATGAAAGACACAGATCATAAAAAAAAACAGGAGTAACTACTGACCTGAACACCATGGGGCAGTAATCTTTCCATTTAAAACCCTCTGACTGATGAGGAGGTGTCAATTGAGAACCTTCTTTAGGAAAATTCATCCAAAAGCTTGCTTTGGTACCAAAATCTGATATTCTTACTTCTCGCGTAGGTATAGGTGTTATCTTGCCCACGGTATACCTAACCAATTGAAGGACATTTACAAGGAAATCCATGGAAAAGCAACCATATTGAAGAATGATGAGACAGTTATGTGAACAACACGAATTTAGTAACTAATAAATTGCGCCATTATGTGTTTTGTAACCATTATTAAAAAATGTGCTTGGTGTATTGCGAGAGGACGAGTCTCTGTTAGTGCTTAGGCCTATCTATGTATTGTGTATTAAGAGAGGTTACTCTCAATGAGGGAGTCTGTCCTTTAATTTTCTTTTGTTGTCTGGGGTCTGTTGTAACTTCTTTTCTGGTTTAATCCAGAATATATAAATTAAACTAATTGGTTTGTGTGTAGTTCTCCAGTCTAACCAAAAACTTCACATGTTAGGAAAATCCATGCAAAGGAAAATGAAGATAGTCTGTTTAGGATAGCATTTTAACTTCAACTTATGTGACTTCAGTTCACAGTTTTCGGCCTCCTGACGTCCTAATCTTAAAATCGGAGTAATAAAACAAAATGAGATGTCTATGTTCCACTGTATAAGCTAATCAATACAAGCGAGAAACTTTGTTGAATGAAAACAGCTTATAATTGTCATGCGATTCTCAAATCTTTATTGGAGCTGCACACCAAAAGAAGTTAGGTATGGGACCTTAATATGATTGACGAATAGAACCATCAACCAGACCTATATAATAATTATGGTTTTATGACTTGGGTATTGCCTTCCAACTTTGGATTCATCTTGAAATGTTAGCATATGTCATGTGCCATAGAATAAAGGCAAAAGCATGCAGAGAATAATTTGAGTGTATTGTAACAAATGATAACAACTGAAGCAGTTTGAGTATGCTACAGGTCAACATAGTGTCTTTACCTTATTCCAAGCTGCAAACTAAGCATCAGATCATAGCTCCTGTGACCTTTAATGATTATTTCACCAGGTTTTTTAATCTCTTTGGCAAGCTTTTTTTTAAGTCGCCTTGCCCTTCTAGACATTGATGAAAACATATTATTTAACACAACCTCACTTATCAATACACCTTGCATGTACTCTCGTTCCAAAATTGGGATCGTTGTATCAACCTCTTTGTCGCTACTTTCTGGCACAGAATCTGCTAATCCTAATGCTGAATCATATCCAATCACTTTCTCAATCGACACCTCAAGACTCCAACGTCTTTCAAGAGACACATTTCTTCTATTAGACTGTTCCAGATTTAACAGGTTTCCTTTTGCAAGATTATCAGATGAAACATGACTTGACAGCTGGTTTTCTGGTACCTTGACATCTCTCACTTGCGTCTGTTTTCTCAAATCTGGCAATAGCCCTCTTTTTCTCAAGGCACTGAGATAAATTTCTTGCATTGATGGAAGCCGGCTACCTCTTGGGTAAAAGGTTCCTTTGCCATCTTTTAGACCAAATGCCCAAGTCCCAACATAGCTTCCTCCATCACTCCAAGTGTAAACTCCAAATCCATGCATCATGCCATTTAACCAGTTTCCTTCGTACGAGTCCCCATTTATCCAGGTGAGTGTTCCTTTCCCAGACATTATCCCACCTTTCATATTCCCCACATAAACATTTCCATTGGTCCAGGTATACTTGCCAGGGCCCTCTGCTGTTCCTTGCATCCAAGAACCTTCAAAGGTATCTCCATTAGGATAAACTTCATACCCCAAACCATGTTTAAGATTCAACCGCCATCTACCTTTATAGGTCAATTTATCAGAACGGATATATGTCCCCGTGCCATGGATATATCCACCGGAGAAATCACCTTCATACACTGCTCCAGAAGGCCATCTGATCTTCCCATAACCATTTCTCATCCCTCTCCTCCATTCACCCTCATATACACAACCATCACACCAAACGTATGTCCCATAGCCCTCAGAAACATTGCCATAAAGGGACCCAGAATATGACTCTCCATTAGAAAGTAAGAGTTGCCCAACAGTAAAGCCATCACTTTCACCGTTTGTCAGCGTAGAAGGTTGGTCTAATTCATCAAGCACATCAACAGATTTCGTTCTCTCTGTAAAAGAAAGTGCTCCTCCATTTGAATAATCTGCTATGGCCAGGGGGCCAGACATTCATAATTACCAGAAGAAAGATTTCCTTGTAGAATTTCAAGTTTCGCGATTTCTCAGCCTCTCCAAGACAAGAAGGTTTGCATATAGGAATTCCAACCCAAAGATGCACTCTTGAAACTCTTTGTCCTGGAATTGAATATGATATTACTTAAGGTACAGATATAATAATACTCAGCGTCTGGATCGACTGAAAAGGTTGCTACAGCTTAACCAATGGTTTCAGATTCGAACACTGGGCATGCAATTTGTATTGCCTGTAGTAGTTTTATGCGACTCGAGTAGACGTGTCTTCCACGAAGGATGCCTGTAGTCTCAAACAAGATAAAAACAGATATGTTATATTCTAGTTATTACAAGGGAAGGAGAAAAAAGAAAGACGGCCGAGAATTCAAGAATCAAAGTCATATTACAGCGTGTGTGAGTGTGAAGAAACAAGTTTAATTCTAAAGCGCAGTAACCAGACACGCTATGTTCTTCACTGAATTTTGCAGACCACAAATTACTAAACAAAAGGACAGACCGCAAAGTACGATCATAATATTAAAATGGAGACAGAAAACAATTAAACAATAGTATCATAAAAAAATTATAAAAAGAACAAGAATTAAATGAAAAAGGTAACAACTTTTTCCGTCATTATGATGAAATTTATCAAAGAAAATAAATGAAGCAATATACAACAGAGAGTAAGTGTTGGGGGAGAGTCAAAGAAAAACAGAAGACTAATAACAACAAAATCTGCAGCAAATGAAGCTTC